CGCTCCTGTGCAGTTCTCGCCAGGCCTGTCATTGAAGTCTTATAATATATGTATATATTTAGTACTGTGTCTTGAAGCAAGTGTATAGAAATGTTGTTTTTATACATGATTTAGATGGTTAGAAATTATCTACATCAATAGCGTTTTTAAAATCAATTTTTTGGTTTATTATTTTCAATAATGAAACATTGTGATCGACCAAAAAATTCAAAAATATAACCCCATATATTTTATAAACATAATATATTTTTTTTCAAATTTCGATATAAAATCATAGGTCGCCCGAGGATGATCCTTCTTCATCGACATTACTCTTCGCCTTTAACTTTCAAAATGGTGGCCGAAAAACCTGCATTGCTATAGACTGTAGCTCCTAAACGAATGTACAGATTTCAATGAAACTTCACTAAAGTCATTTTCTCGACGCCCTTTAAATTTATCTACATAACATACTTCAACGAAAAGAAGCTGGGAAAAAAGTTACGAGGGATGGTAAAATTAAATTCCGAATAACTCGAAATGTTTTTACTTTTTTGTTGATATTGTATATAGTTTTTTAAAAGTTTACTAAATTTCCTTAAAAAAAAATCATTAAAATCGGAACATTAGGAGCAAAGATATGGTATTCGGTTTTTGTTTTTTTTTATGTGTTCTACTCCAAATGTTAATCTATCCTTGGTTTGGTTTTTAAATTTTAAATGTGTTACTGAACTAATGGTTGTTGTTTTTTTTTAGCATATTACTAATGATTAAAGAAAAACAGTTTAGTCCAAGAATTGGAATCACCTTTTGTTTTGTTTTCTTTGTAACTTGGAAGGTAATGTTACTTTAGATGTATAATTGTTTGGAGATGATAAACCATTGTGAAATAATTTGCACCGTTTTTAAAATACTCTTGTTGTTTTTCTTAATTTTTTTATTAAATGCAGTATTTAAAAATTCTTTATATTTTATTTTAGCATGACGTTTAGTTTTAAAATGTTGTTATTTTTATTTTTAAAAAATCAATAACATTTTTTAAAAATCAATGTAAAAATACTCTGTTGTTTTCTTTATTTTGTTCTTTAAATTAAGTATTTATTTATTTTTTAAACTTATAATGATGTCTTAGCACAGATTAAATTTGACATAGATTAATAGTAAAAACTAAGTTTAAATTAGCAAACATATAAGTAGTAGGTAAGATATAAGTTTCACTTAAATGGTAACATTGATGGAATGTATATAAAACCAAGGTACACCACTTTCATTTTGTTCTACAACCACAGAAATTATGATAACTTCAATATGAATCCAACCACATACACGAAAATAATGGAGATTTAGGGCCCTGTCTCAGAAACGCGACCTTCCTAAACAAATTAGAACCGATGATGAAAAATAAAAATATTTAAAAAATGTTGCTCTCGTCCTAGCATATAAACGATTAAAATCTAATGTTATTAATATGGATTGGAAGAATAGTAATTCGTCCTTCTGATGATTTTATTTAAGAATATTCAAGTTGAATCATGAAATAAAATCATTAGAATCTCAGAAATTAATTTGTTAAAAAAATTGGCTTTTTCTCAACTTCTTAAAAATGACAAATGTCCTCCTTTGATCTGAAACCACTCATATGATATCTGATTATTACTTACTTAATTGATGTTATTTTTTTCATGTCCTGCAACAAAAAAAGAATGAAAAGAAATGGTATAAAATAACGTAGAAATTTGGCAAAAGCAAAGGCCAAAAAAATAACAAAACGTTTTTGTAATTATATAAAATCATTTTTTTCTCGCTCCGTAAGGACCATTGGAACAAACGCTAGAATATGTGGCTGATATTTGTTGAAGTATAATAACAAAAAAATGGCTGAAATCTGAGATCCACTGACCTCCCCTTGCAAGTACACAAATGTAGACTTGCCATGCCATCTTGCCCTGAATTTATCTCTGTTAACCATTAAATATTAGATATATTTAGATTTTGATTCAAAACGGATCTTAGAGTACACAGGTTTAACGCTTTAATAGAGTTAATACGTAAAGGATTTATTTAATACCTTAGGTTTCAGGCAAAAGATAATTAAAATTTAATTTTTATTACGAATCATCAAATATGCAAGTTTTAAATGCGAAACTCTTTCGCATTTTAATATTCACTGATGAAAAAAAACTCGTGGATATCAAGCAAGTATATGTGGAGGATTACTGGATTTCCGAAAATGGCTTCTTCCAGAAATTTTATTCTCTTACAAAAAATTTTAGACCTTGTAATATAGATATTTTTTAGCCAATGAAAACGGTGAGGAAGTTATACTAACTATTAGAGATGCAGTGACTATTAAAATCCAAGTTTCCGCCCTTGAAAGTCTTGTGGGTTCGCTGCAATGCTCCAAAACCCATTGAAGTTTCCAACTTTTTTTGGTCTACGCTAAATATCTTCTTTTTAAAGCGACATAAATAGTACCGAGTACCGAGGTTTTTATTGTCTATCGTTGATATAATTAATAGTGGTTTGGTTATTTTAATGGTCTTAATGATTTGTCAGCTCCGTTAAAAGTGCAATTCAAAAATTTTATAATTGCCAAACATTGCCATAAAATAATTTCTATTCAAAGTAGAGAAGTAAGTGAAAGTTGTGTGTTTTATTTTTATTCATTTATTTTACTTTTATTACCAGATTTTATTCGTAGAAACTGCTATTCCTATGAGTAATTGATATCCCATCCATACAATAATATTCCAGCCCCTTCGGCTCCGTTGATTATCAGGTATAGGTAACTGCTAAGATGATAGAGTTTTAAAAATTCAATCGTTAATCATCTGTCCGTCTACAGTTGATTTCAATTGCCTATCGTCTAGGGATTAAATGAGCCTTTCAGTTGACAGAATGACTAACTCCGATATCAACATATTTTATTATTATTAATTTTAGTGATTTTTTAGTGAGTAAATATTTATTCACAGTTATATATTTCAACGCTACAATCACCTACTCTAGAATCAATTTACTCACTGTCTGTAAAGATATTAAAAATTTTCCAACTAAAATAATATACAGCAAAATAAGAACAAAATAAAATATCATAATAAGGGAAGAAAAAAAAAATAATAAGAGAGAAATACTTTATTTTCATATAAAATATAAAAGCTTGCTGCGGAATATATACTGGGTTGCTGGACACAAAGAATACTGATTAATCTTTAGGGCAATCAATAAAGCTTATACATAAATATATAAAAGTGGTTAATAATTATGAGTATAATATATATATATATATATATATATATATATATATATATATATATATATATATATATATATATATATATAGGAAAAAAAAGTATATATACTTTTTTTTCTTTGTTCATCCACTTTTTTTTAAAATTTGATTTCCCTTTCTTTCCCTTCTCTCTCTTTATCTCTCTAATACGCTACATGTATTAAAATGCTTAATAACAAAAACAAAAGTGTATATACAATTTAATACAATAAAACTTTTTCAATAAAATACCTGGCAGAGACGGAATAATGTCGCAAAAATATACCGCCAAAACATTCGGATCACTGGAGAGTGATGAAGTACCCTATTATACTTATGCCCAAGAACAACTTAAAGAAAATAGAAATATAAAAGAATACGGGGGTCAAAATATAATAACGGACTATAGGGTATTGCATAACTGTCCGGATATCTTGATTATAGACAAAATTTGAAATATTATAGACACAGCAGAACTCTATCATACATACCCCAAGGGAACTCCAAACCAGATTTGTCTCCCCACTTGTGGAGGGAAAAGCGGGCTTCAGGAGATCCCTGCGATTCTCTCTCAACCTCTTCACTGGTATTAAAACCAGCGGAGCCTGAGTAAAGGCGCTTTAGCCGCACCAAATGAGAAATTAAGTGAAGCAAATGAAATTATCGACTCTCTTCTTAGTGAATACTTTACTACTAATGTAATCGTGAATGTTTTAATTCCTTATGTCGGATTTGTGTTCCCAACTCGATAACCAACTTCATTATCTGTACCAGGTTATACAATACAACTTCATTACAAAGCTCTCGTTTATAACAACGTGAATGATGTTTTTTGTTGATTATATTTATTTTTTACATTTAGGTTTTGTTCTCTATAAACATAGTTCTATAAAACAGGTCCAATTGAAGTTTTAAATACAATACAGAGGTACCCAGAAGGGATAGTTGCGCCTTAAAAGTTTTTGAGGAGGGCATATTTTGAAGGGTTTTGAATTTTCAAGGAAGGCAAATTTCGACGTGGTTATGAATTTTCGGACTAAGGGACAAGGGAGAAAACATGATGTATACCGCAACAAGTATAATTGTACATGATCTACGATTTATGTAATTCTACCTCAGCTTGCTCTGTTTTAAGAGAAGGTGAGCAATAAAATATCTTGGGAGGAGGGAGGGTAGGCTCTTGTGCCATCGACCTTGGGGAGGGAGATGGGCACTCCTGATACAGTACAGATTGGAAACAGTAAAACGCGTTATTAGCTTTAATTATATTAAAGCTATCGACGTTCGCTGGCTCAATAAGGATAAAAAGTTTCTCAACGGGTCCTTTCCGGTTAAGATCGGGTCCTTACCATAAAGTTAGTTCAACGTCGTCTCCTTTCGGACACGGCCGCCAGGAATTCAGCTCCTGTGAATTCAATTCATAGTGTGATCATCGAGTTCTTGTGGTTCCCATTTCATTTCAAGTAGTTACCATTTTATTTATTTATTTTGGTTTAGTTTGATTTAGATTTTTTTGTAAAAATGAGTTTTACATAAACGGATCCAATTTTTTCATTAGTTGCTTTTCAATTGATTATAGATTATTGGTTTGATGAAAGAGCTGAAGACGTCTAAATAACATAGATATTGCTGCATCTAAAAATGTTTACGTTTCATCGTTGTTAATGATCAAAAGAACAAAAAAAAAAAACAAAAAAAAACAGGCGCTCTTGCTTCAATGCACGATTGAACAAATATGCAAAAGATTAGATTAGTCTTCCAAACAGGAAAACCTTGAAACCATCGTGAAAAACTGGTCCATCCAGGATTGAAGGTCGAACACTTCGGTGAACAAAAAGGCTCTGCAAGTTGTCAAAGTCAAAGACTTAATCTGTTTGCCATAATCTATTATTAAATTACTAAAGTATCGAAAGAACTAGAAAATGAAGAACAGTAAGTTGAGAAAATGAAATTGAATAAGTGAAAATAAATGTTGGTAACGGACTGCAGACTATTTGCACATTTTGTTTCGTATTGTGTAGGTCGAGACAACAAAAAAGACAGATATATTTACTTCATGCCACAACTATAAAAAAAATATAAGCTCAAATATATATATATATATATATATACATACAGTAAAATATAATAGTATAATATATAGGTGGGGAACGTTTTTATCATTAGAGGTTAGGCAGTACTAATGGAGTCCGCAACAATTTTATATTTTACTGTTCATATTTTTATTTATCACTAAATTCATCCACTCATGTACTTATATTCAATTTACTCTATTAATTTTCGTAACTTAAATAATTAAATATTAATTAATTCTAATAGATTAATAAATATAGCGCAAAAACACTTGGAGGCCGCAGGTTCCTCACCTATAGTATATTATATTATATGTAATAATACAATTAATAACTAACATTGTATTATTATTATTAATAATGTAAAACACTGGCACATTTTCAAAAGTTTGAGAGACGGCTGAAGGGACCTCGAAACTTTGCTTCTGTTTGCCTCCAAAAACATACTTATGCCACTGCCATTTAATATATTTAAATAAATGATAATCTATTTTATTTTACACATTTAAATATAATTATATATTTTTGATGTGCAGGTCAGAAAGCGGAAAAGCCGCCAAAGTGCGCGTTACCTTCTTCGAGTGCGAACGACCACAGACGCTGAGCTCTCCAGAGCCTTCCGATATCACAGAGGCATTGGATGCACCTTTCATCATGAACCAAACCGAGTCACCAGCCTACCAGAGGCAAGCAAGGTATGTATTTTCTTATATTATCCATCACTTTCTAATTCAAAAGTTAATTGTACTCGCCTATTGTAAAATTATATATTAAGACTTATTCAATAATAGCCAAGACAGTAACAGATTACCTTCACACTTTCTCTGACTTACCTGCTGTAAAAGATGGCATTAAAACTGCATAGAGGGAATTTCACGACAAACTTAATCACCATTTTAATGAAGTTTTACAAAATGGCTATAACAGACATCTCTGACAGAACATAGTAAAGGCTATAAAGAAGTTTGATGATGGAACTCCTTTAGAAGCAGCCATCACTAGATGTGCTATTTACTTTTGCTGTTCTTTTAATCCAAGCAATGTGGGACGAAAGTCCTCCAACTAAAAATAAATAAATGAAAAATAAAACAAAACTTTGAAGCAATTTCTTAAATCAATCTACAATAGTTCAAACCGGTATACTATGAAACAACTGGTAGTCCAGATTGATGAAATAATTTAACTATTAATGGCAATCTAGACGTACGGATTAGAGCTGCGGGGGACGGCCTTTTAAGGTACATTTACACGTTTCGCAAACTATGGGAAACACGAATGTGTCAATGGGCTGTTTCTCTAGGTTGCTCGTTCAAAAGATATCGGACGAATCAATCTATGTACAATATACAGCTATCTGAATCTACGGATACAAATGTGGGAGACTGTAAAGTTTTATAGCATTAAACGCATTCAATCCTTCCTGTCTAAAGTTGTTCAACCAATAGTCGATGTTCTCTTCTATGTAACTAACTAACCATGCATAATGACCTTAATATCCCATTTGTTCTTGAACCTAATACTAGGCAAATTCTAAAATTTCATCAGAACCTCGCTCATCATCCAATCCCTGTAGGACAATGACCCTCTGCCGAGCTCCATCTAACTTTATAATACTCTCTGGAAGTTAAAACAGCAGTGGTCTCGCGACCTTTTGATAATTTGATATTGGAGTTCTGGCAATGGCTAGATTAAGTCCTGGTCCACTTAAGTCCTGAATGCTTTAGTGCCCTCTCTTAGATTCCATTGGTTTCCAAAATCAATGATGCGGCTGGGAGAGAAGCGCTGGGATCTCCCGGAGTCCCCTTGGCGAATATAAATATTGTTCATGGATATTTTTTTAATACATGTTTTAATTTTAATTGTTTATTATTTATTTAAAATATTTCTTGCTGTCATTCAATGTGGGAGATTGTATTATTATTCAATAATAATATAGCGCATGTATGTGTATATTTGTTAAAGAATAAAAATCGAAAAAAAATATACTAAATACATTCATTCACATTTGGTTCTTCCATAACTATATGGTAATATTTCTAACCTGAAAGTGATGATGACCACCATATTTCAAACCTAAAAGATAATTATATTCATATAAATATTAATTAAATTAAATTAAATTAAATTAAATTAAATATAAAATATTAAAAGATAACATATTCAAACCAATGCAGTCATATAATTATGAATATAATATTCTCTTAAAAATAAAAGCCCTTTCCCGTGAATATTTTCTTCTTTAAATTAAACTTATTTGGGTCTCCACTTGGAGAAACGACTGACATGGACATACCACATAAAACAAAAAAGAAAAGAACTTAATCAGCGATACGAACTTCTTTCTAGGCTACTTGAAAGACGTTCTAAATTATCTGTGACTAATAAATTAACTATTTACAAAGTCCTCATTAAACCTCTTTGGACATATGGAATCGAACTATAGGGAACAGCAAAGAAATCAAAAATAAAAATCATCCAGTCATTTCAGTCAAAGGCCCTTCGGATAATTGTACTGGACCCTTTTAATTTCCAAACCTCACGTTACACACTGATCTTAACACTCCTTTCATTACGGCAACTGCCACTGACCGCTTTAATAATTTTCATGGCAGACTGACTCTACATTCAAATCCACTTATTCAAGCTCTACCGACTGCCACAAATCCATATAATCCGCCCAGAAGACTGCTGAGGCGGTGGCCAAGAGACTTATTAAGTAGGCATTGAGCTACTTGCTGTATTATCTTTTTGTGTATATTATTATGTCTGTCTTATTTTACTACTTTTTTTTGTCTTTTTGTTTTGTTATTACTATTATTTTTTTTATGCTATCATTTATTCGCCTTGATATCAATATTTTCTGAATACCGAGTAGATGGCAAATTTGTTATGAGCCAGGAATATGCGTAACTAATAAATAAAATAAATTAAACTTTGGAGCATTATAATAGCACTCTCTGAAAGAATATGAAAGGGAATGATGCTTAAACTCAATCAAATGAATTTTGGCGCCCAGAAAGAAAAATAAACAAGTTGGCCAGTGAGTTGAAACATTCTTGTTGACGATTTAGTTTTATTTTGACGTATCAAATACCGTTTGTCGTGTCGCTCCTTCGAATACTTGTTTACTTCCTTCTTAAACATCGCAACTAGCCAAAATCCTAAATAATAATTTAGTGCAACCACCTGATTTGGTGAAGTATTGACTCGAGCGGTCCAATGAACTGCCGGCCTAACTGGGTCGGAGCCTAGCCTGGCACTGTCCCAGGCACTCCATCTATTTCGGGTTCGCTCGTCCTCTTGGTCTCGTGTAAACACCCGCCGCTTAGGTGTCGATAAGCAATATACAGGTACCACCCAGCTCTTAAAGTACATTTACACGTTTCACAAACTGTATGAAACACGAATGTAATAACGGGCTGTTTCTCTAGCCTGCTCGTTCAAATGATGTCGGACGAAACGATTCTTGCGATCTTTTAAACGAGTAGTGTATATTTGTTATCTATCAGGTCTTTTACACGGTGGGCCAGACCCTCCTAAAGTGCCCCTTCCCTTCTCCCCCACATCCCTATAAATTGCATATCGTTGTGTTCCTTGTAACAATTTATTTTTAAAAAATCCAATGTTCCCACTAAAAAAAGTGAACGAACTGGCCCAAATTGGCTTCCAAACATGGCGGACTAACAACTTTGACTTTCGTTATAGTTGGTCTTTTATTTAAAAGCTGGATAGTCTGACAATAAGAAAACATGAAAAAATACTAAAAAAATATTGGCTTGGGCAATAAAAAACACCAGTAAAGTCAATTTTTTGTAAACGTTAAATAAAAAATTCAAGATATTCAGCAAAGTATTTTTGAATTAAGTTTTATTGTTATAATTATATCATTATTACTATAGAGGCATTCTTAAACGACCTCCATATAGAATAAAGGAAATTAAAATATTAAAAAAAAATTAAAAATTAAATTTTTTTTTTACATTTTTTGGACAACTAAATTATTGCATTAATATTTTTTCGTTAATACAATCAATGTAATGTACCAAAAACGTTATTATAGAACTATAATTAAGCATTTATGAGTACTGAATGGTGTGGTTGAGGCCTGTAGGCACCTACGCTAGTCCCGCTTTTCTGCCGCTTAAGTGCATTTACTACAGAATTGCTTCAAATATTTTAAAATGTAATGAGTGTTTTAGAAAGAGAAATATATTCCCCAGATGTGTTATTTCAGCAAGTTTTGCGTTATTGTTGGCCGTTTAATTACAAACGACGCTTGATTTTCGACTTGAAAATTGTTTTATTGAAAAAATTTATTTTAATGGTGTTTTTTATTGCCTAAGCCAATTATTTTTACATGTTTTCTTATTATCAGACTCTCCAGCTTTAATAAAAGACCAACTATAACGAAATAAGGCCAAATGCTGATTCTCAGTGACCAAAAAACTAACTAAAGTCCTGTTCGTTTTTGATTTTTTTTTTGTGAGAACATTGGCTTTTTTTTTATAAATTGTTACAAGGAACACAACGATATGCAATTTATAGGGGTGTGCGTGGGGTAAACGGTAGGGGAAGATCTAACTCAATTGATCATTGATCCACTAGTGGATATAATTAAAGTAACTTTGGAATTATTAGTTGAAGCCTTATTCTGGTCCGTATTCATGTTTGATTTCAGGAAAATGTAAATATTAGCATCATTGAAAAATTAGATAAATAAAGTGTTAAATTTATGAAACTCGAACCTAAGTCTTGAATTATTTTTAGTGATGAAGCCATGGACGGTATCTACACATAAAAATAAATGAATTTTAAAATATGTTATATAAGTGAAAACTGTATATACATCTAAATGAATAATTTTTTAAATATAAAATACCAGCTTATGTATTCGTCGTTGATGGGTGTATTGTTAAAATTTGAGATGGATTTTGTATTATTGGTGGGGAGGAGGATCCAAATTTAATTTTTAAAAATTGGGTGGGAGAGAGGTTACTCTTAAATTTTTTAGGGAGGAGGGGCTTATGGAAGTCAAGGTTTCGCAATAGTCATAATAGAAACTTTATTATTCGGCTATTTACTTAGGTGCCAGCTAACTAAACCGACCATCACCGATCCATTACATTTATTTAAGTATTCAATTTTCATTTATGATGAAGTGAGGAGATTGTTGAGTCGATTGAAATAATCAAAAAGAGTTGTAGTCTCTCCACTTCTTTAAACTCTGCTGAGTTTATCGCTGGCAAAATAACATTAGACATTGAGTTACCTACATCCGTGTAAAATTAGAACTTGATCTGAATATTGTGGCTGGCAGGGTGAAACTTTTGGAAGTTTTTTTTCTCGATTCCCGGCTAATCCGTTCGGTTAATCCTAAAAAGGCATACAACAACATTTGTTAGGCTCGGGAAGTTGAATCGAATGACACCTTGAACGGGAACAGCGGACAAAGTTGAAAAATGGCTGTGTTTTACTCGTTTTTTAAGCGACAAGGCGTTACAGATGTTCGGCATTTCGGATTTTTTCCCGTTGCATTGTTATAATTTTTTCCATCAGCTAAATAGTACAACTTTTAAATGTGACTCGCGGTAGAGTAGGTTCAGATGAGAATCGAAGTAACTGCCTAACCGGGATCTCTAGACAAATTACTCAT